AATTGCTCACTATCTATACACACCATTACCTTCTCCTCCCGCGTCACGTTTTCCCCCTCTTATATATACCAGCCTACCCTATCTAGTAAATACTAGAGCATTCGCCAAAGTACAGGATAGTTCTAGAAAGGTGGCGTCACTGTAGTCATGTGACTCGCTGACGCAACAATATTGTTAAGTCTGTGTTCGTTTGTTAATTTTCCGTAGAAATTCTTTCCCAGAAACTTCAGCGATACAAGTCCTTTCTTAAATAAAACTAGTTTATTATTTCTCAATTCAACTTTGCAATACACTTAATTTCCACAGTCACTTTAACTCAAACACACGCTATAATTCACAATGAACTATTCACGCACTTTACTACCGCGCTTGACTCACTTGTCCGTCTCTATCTCTTCAATCTGCAATTATTCATCTCTGTTCATTGTCTGGCGCACTTATATACAAGAATAGAGGGCGCCTAGCAAATACTGATGTTCCCCGATCTTTCTAGAACTCATTATGTGTTACTAGAGTCACGTGATTTCCGCTGTCGTAACAATATGTTGGCCTAATACATTACCAGTTTAATTTACTTCATTATATGATAGCGTATAAAACTATTGGCTATCGTTGGACCCAGCGGGGATTCCATTTATCTGGGGCCCGGCATGGTCAGGTGGTTAGGGCGCTCGACTCGCAATCTGAGGGTCGCGGGTTCGAATCCCCGTCACACCAAACATGCTCGCCCTTTCAGCCATGGAAGTGTTATAATGTGACGGCCAATCCCACTATTCGTTGGTAAAAGAGTAGCCCAAGAGTTGGCGGTGGGTGGTGATGACTAGCTGCCTTCCCTCTAGTCTTACACTGCTAAATTAGTGATGGCTAGCGCAGATAGCCCTCGTGTAGCTTTGCGCGAAATTCAAAAACAGACTGTGTTTAACTTCAAACAAACAAACCGAAAAAGGGACACGGATTTTAATTGTGTACAACCAAAGTTGTTGACTTGATCTTAGAATTCCGGAAGTTACCGATCTATTTTGTTGAATGGAAATACGAATAATTTCATGTGAGGATGAATACGCATCAGTTTACCAAGTATTTAAAAATCTCTAGTAATATAATCAACAAACGCGTATCTTCTTGTTACATTTTACCTTTATATCGTCATTTTGTGTTAGATGGCGCGATCACTTTATATTGTTACCAGAGTCACGTGACTTCCGCAGAAACGTAACAATATTTATATCAAAAAGATCGCCAACGAAGGTCTTTTGGCCGAAATTTCGATCAATTTCCCCCTCCTATTCAATCATTTTATCTATGTTTATATGTTCCGTATAAAAGCATTCAATTTTGTTCAGGTATTACGAAGTTTTCTACCAACGAAACGTTGAAACTCATGGTATTAAAAGATCAAAAAGGGGCTTCAAAGAAGTTGTAAGTAAAACATGGTTAGAAATAAAAAACGGAAATATTTTGTGAATGTTAAGTTATTCGTATGTGTAGATAAAGATGTTGAACCGTTTAACGAAGTTACGACAAAGAAATGAAATCACGACCACTGTAATATGTCTATGCAAGTTTTATTTACGTTTTAACAATTTTCCTTTTTTCGAATGTCAGACATTGTGTAGATTTATTTGTTCTGATTTTTATTATCAAGAAACTCTATGTTGGGGAAAAATAGAAAAGGTGAGACAAATGAAGTTTTCAGTAAAATTATTCACCAAAAAAAACACAACTTGAGTTGTGTGGACACGTCAGGTGTTTGAATGAATACAAGCTCAAGTTAAAAACCAACACAATCATTGTGGGCTAACAAAACAGTGGTTTTAATATTAGAAAATTAAAGCATTTCATAACATAAATTACTTTTACTTCTTTTTTATAAACATAATACAACCTAAAATGTTTGTTAATTATGTACAATTATGAGGAAAAGTGTCATACACACACACGTTTGAAAATTTGAAAAATCTGGAATTTTGCCAGAAAAGACAGAGGGCAAAATGAGAAAGCACGTGACCATTCTGACATAATATTGATTCGGTGCTGTACTTATTCTGTCTGTTTGTAGTTATGCACAAAGCTACACAATGGGCTATCTGTGCTCTGTTCACCACGGGTATCAAAACTCGGTTTCTAGCGTTGTAAGTCCGCAGACCTATTACTGTGCCACTGGGGGCGTACTTAGTCTGACAATTAGACTCTTTGTGTTTTACTTTTTATTCTAATCTTAGGAATTTTCTTTCAATGTCAAATAGTGGTGGAACAATAATGCCCACTCTTGATGTACATTGGTTTCGACACCAAACGACAAATAATTTATTGATGTTCATTATCAAAATCTCAACAATGGTCAAATTTTATGAACGTAAGTTTTAATTAAAAGGCTCAACTATACGTCTTTTAATTTTCTATATACTTTTTCCAAGTGTATTATAGAACTTATATATAATGTCACCGAATTGTTCGTGGTTTCGCGCTGTTAACCAATGTACCATGAAAAGACGTATGATTTCAACAGTAATGGACATGAAGTCTTTTGACTCTAAAGTGGGTAATTGTTCCATGATTGAAGTAAAACCTCGGAGTTTAACTGTTTACTGATGTTGAAGTATATAAAGATCATTATAATCGTGAACGAAAATCGAGCTACAACTGGAAAATTTAACGTGTGTATATTTTTCATGAGTTGTCTTCTCAGAGATGTTTGAAATATTATCCATAAGGATGATGCTAACTGTGAACACTATCTCAGAAACATCTATCCTCGTAATCTTGTTGCCTCACTTTCAGTGGCTCGGCGGTGAATTTGAAGGTTTCCAATGCTAAAAATAGGAGTTCGATTCCTGTAGTGGCTTTTAGGCATAGCACAGATAGTCCCCATTGTGCAGTTCCGTGTTGAAAACAAACAAATAAACACTATCATATTACTACCGGAAATATAAAGAAAGATACAAACATAGCTAATTTTAATGTGCGATTTTTGATAAATAGTGTTCATTTATTAGTGTCTGCATCGGTAGCATTGAATTATATTTCCCTCTCTTTATTACAGAAAGTTGGATATAACAAACTTGAATTCGCTTCTCTTGAAGAGATAAAATTAGCCCACTACAAAGGAGTAACCGGAGAGTATTAAGATGTCGTTTATTTGAAAGTGTTATATTAAAGACTAAATCGGTAGATCCTGTAAAACGGGAGGGGGGGGGGGATTTTGAATGATTAAAACGTTGAGATGAAAATGTAAGAACTATATAAAGATTTGTTGGTTTGTTTCTCCCAGAAGTTTCGCGCAAAGCTACACGAGGGCTATCTGTGCAAAATCTTCCATAATACTAGAAGGGAGGCAGCTAGTTAACATCGCCCTCCGCCAACTTTTGGGATACTCTTTTTCTGACAGAACAGTGGGATTCCATCGTTTTTTTCATAGCTTAACGATGGCCTCAAAGTGTACATTTTTGCGGCGGAACGTGAACAATGATTTCTTGGATTGAAAATCTGGTCACGCTAACCACTTGTATAAACAAAAAATGCCAATTGTCAGCTGTTGAAGAAGGAATTATTAATGGATAAATCCAAGCTGATGTTGAACTTCTATTTTTTTATACGAGTATAATAGATGATAGAAGATCCTTTTGTGTTATTTTACATCTAAATCTACAGATATACAAATAAATAAAATATAAACGTTGTTTTGATGGATTTTGTTTGAATTTCGAATTCCAGGCCTAACTTATGTAAAGGAGATCAAGGAACGACGTGTTGTCCAGGATGGATGCTTACCCATGGTACCTTAATGTGTATAATTCGTAAGTATCTATCTATAAAATGTCATTAGGTAAAGAAATATTTGTAATTCATATCAGCTATCTTATTTGAATATCATAAAGCAGATAATTTCTGTTTTGTTTTTCTAATCACGCTATTGAAATAGTGTTTGTGAAATTCCATAGACAAAACGTAAAGTAACCATTGTTTGTTGAAAATCTAGTTGTGTCAAAACACGTGATGTTTCTCAAGAGTTACTACCCACTAGCCATAATCGCATTAACTTGACTGTAGTATGAATAGGGCGCGGGTTAGCTCCGTGGGAGAGCCATGAATTTCGGAGCTGGTGAGCCGGCTTCAAATCCGTGCGATACTACAAAATATTCCCATACATTAAGCTTTAAATGCGTTATAAGAGTGACAGTCAAACCCTTAACGGCGTGGATAATGGGTTATATGATGTAATGATTGGTTAGCTCCCGTCTGGTCAGTAGTTTAGAATTATGGACAAAAGCAAATATTCTTAATAACTTTGCTATAAATGAAAAATATGAAATGTTACTGAACAGAAATAGTATATAGATAGATCACACACACACACATGTATAAATTGATAGATAAATCACATATACGTATAGCTTCTTGTTGTTGTTTTTTAAGAATTTATATCAATTACACGTATTTCTTTCTGTGTGTTTGTCTTCCAGCAATATGCATTCACTCTTGTGGTGATGGTCGTTGCATTAGGCCTAATGTGTGTTATTGTAACAACGGTCATACTGCTGCCCATTGTGGAACTACGGGTAGACCAGGTCCAATTAGTCCTGGTATACGTCAAGGTCCAATTACCCATGGTATACATCCAGGTCCAAGAATTCCCGGTCCTGGAATCTCAGGCCCAGGAATCCCGAGTGCTGTTGGTTCAGGATCGGGAGGTGTGATTCCAGGTGGTCCAGGAATACTAAGCCATCGCTACCGTGAGTAATAATACTATAAATAACTTCAAAAGTTTTAATTATTTGTTAATATAAGAAAGGGAAACAAATACAACTGCGCAAATTAAACTTCAACTTCAGGAAAATAGGTGGGAATATGATTTCGAAATGTTTTGGCGACATACTAGTAAGAATTTTTTAATTTTCTTAGAATTTGAATGAGGTTCTTAAAAACAAAAAAACAAAATCCGTTATTGTAATAACTTTGATAGTTACATTTGTTATGACGTTCGAAAGCATGAATATTGATGTAAATATTGTTCACATATAATAGTAATGGAAATAATTGTGGAAACAAATAAACAATACACTTCTCCTTCAAGATCCTATTACAGACTGTTTAAACCCAACATTCGTTAGTTCATAAGAAATGTTGTGTTTACCCTGAGCAACTGACTCTGCTGCTACCCACGTGACTAACGATTCTTATTTGAACATAAATAAGACCTTAACCTCTAGGTATCACTTGAACTACCATTGAAGGATACTACTGTTGACATCTTTTCACAGTGTGTAGTATTGCAGTAATAATTCCTCCTTGGTCAGAACTGGTATTATCCACATAAGAATGACAAAGGAACAATGGCAGCTATGAAGTTTGTTTGTTTGTTTGTTTTGAATTTCACGCAAAGCTACACGAGGGCTATCTGCGCTGGCCGTCCCTAATTTAGCAGCGTAAGACTAGAGGGAAGGTAGCTAGTCATCACCACCCACCGCCAACTCTTGGGCTACTCTTTTACGAAAGAATAGTGGGATTGACCGTCACATTATAACGCCCCCACGGCTGAAAGGGCAAGCATGTTTGGTGGGACGGGGCCGCATTAACTTAATGGCTTTGTTATGTAAAAGCTGTACATACACAGAAAAAAAGAATAAATTCAGAATACACTACTATATTAAAAGAAGACAGAAATATATAGTATATTAACTTGCTGTGCATGTATAGACTTGTCAGAAGGTCATTAAACCTTTTTATTAACTACATATACATTAGATGTTTAATTATGTAACATTATACATGCACATGTTACAAGGTTATTAATTTTTCCATAATATCTGTATGCACTGTAATGGAAATAATTATAGCAACAAACAAACAATACATATATAGGAGTCACAAACAAAGAGTAATCAAGCTATATGGTTAACTTATTAATGGTACAAAACAATATCACTGACAATACAGAGAGGAGAAAAAACTAAAGTGCCTTAGTATTTTGTGAGTTCATCGAATTATGCAAAACATTACGCCTTGTTTTTATGCTGCCATACAGTTTTTCAAAGTATGAATTGTAGAATAGTGTGTCAAATATCTAAATTATTTGGTCGACTATCTTTTGGGCCTGGCATGGCCAATTGGTTAGGGCACTTGACTCGCAATCCCCGTCCCACCAAACATGCTCGCCCTTTCAGCCGTGGGGGCGTTATAATGTGACGGTCAATCCCACTATTTGTTGGTAAAAGAGTTGTTGGTGGGCAGTGATGACTAGCTGCCTTCTCTCTAGTCTTACGCTGCTAAATTAGGGACGGCTAGTGCAGATAGCACTCGTGTAGCTTTGCGCGAAATTCAAACCAAACGGTTATCGTTTGACCTTCTTACTTTTTACATAAGCCTAAAAATGTTTATATCAGGACTGTCGTTGATTGTTGTCGAACAATTTTAAATATGATTTGTCGGTAAAGAGCATACAGCGCCACCTGCTCATTCAGCTGTTTATGGTCTGATGTCCACTATTTGGTTTGATTATTTCTTCTGAACAGCATATTTTTTGAGCAGCTACACGACCATGGAAACCACTTCCTACTGTTCTTGAGGTAAACTTCAAACCTGTATGTACAGAAATATCGTTGGCAATATTTGTAATCAATCGCCTTATGCACAATAAACAACATACTTTGAGAAATCGGATATCACTTAAGGGAAGTTTCGGTTTTCTACCTCGACCATTTCAAGTCTTAATATCGTCAGTTTCGAGTTACTCTTTTCAGAATATTGCATACAGCTCGTACTAAAACATAAAGTATTCTTTACTAACCCAAAATTTGGTTTCTACACACTTGTCATATGGTAATTCAGCCCTGTAACCCACGAAGAAATTCACGTTACAGTTAATACTGGGCAAAATATATCAGCCTGTGCTTTTATAAGCTTTATTATGACATGGCACTTTCTGATTGGTTGAATGACAACCAATCATAATGTAAACTATCAACAGGTGACTATACTCAGGTTCATGTTAAATGGATAGTATTCACTTTGTATATGTCTTTTATACCCTTTTCCTCACTGTTTTCATGATAATTTGTAAAACTGTGCAATTTCTCTACTCTTTCACTTCGAAAGAGTGGTTAAGGACGTATATCTCTTCCATCTGGATCTATCACTCGGTATCCTTTTGTAGTATGTATTATAATATGAAATATATCTTCTCACTAAATAATGAATTCGTGCCGTTTGTGAAGTGTGCGCTATATCAACCGTCAACAGACAAGAAGTAAGAAATGACGTGTATATTACATATTTTTGTTCATGTACAGAACTTTCTAGTCTACCGGCTAGCTAATTCATTTCGGTTCTCTTCAACTTGAGGTATTATAAACTGCAGTATGAAAGATACTGGCTCAGACTGGGAATCCGTATAATGAACAGCTGAGTCTTTCAGCTCTCATTGGGCCACATTGTATCATTAAACAGATCTAGAGCTTTGTATCTTTTGGCGTGAGAAACATAGCATTAAACAGATCTAGAGCTTTGTATCTTTTGGTGTGAGAAACATAGCATTAAACAGATCTAGAGCTTTGTATCTTTTGGCGTGAGAAACATAGCATTAAACTGATCTAGAGCTTTATATGTTTTGGTGTGAGAAACATAGCATGAAACTCATCTAGAGCTTTATATGTTTTGGTGTGAAAAACATAGTATTAAACAGATCTAGAGCTTTGTATCTTTTGGTTTGAGAAACATAGCATTAAACTGATCTAGAGCTTTGTATGTTTTGGTTTGAGAAACATAGCATTAAACTGATCTAGAGCTTTATGTGTTTTGGTGTGAGAAACATAGCATTAAACTGATCTAGAGATTCATATGTTTTGGTGTGAGAAACATAGCATTAAACTGATCTAGAGCTTTATATGTTTTGGTGTGACAAACATGGCATTAAACTGATGTAGAGCTTTATGTGTTTTGGTGTGAGAAACATAGCATTAAACTGATCTAGAGCTTTATATGTTTTGGTGTGAGAAACATAGCATGAAACTGATCTAGAGCTTTATATGTTTTGGTGTGAAAAACATAGTATTAAACAGATCTAGAGCTTTGTATCTTTTGGTTTGAGAAACATAGCATTAAACTGATCTAGAGCTTTGTATCTTTTGGTTTGAGAAACATAGCATTAAACTGATCTAAAGATTTATATGTTTTGGTGTGAGATACATAGCATTAAACTGATCTAAAGATTTATATGTTTTGGTGTGAGATACATAGCATTAAACTGATCTAGAGCTTTATGTGTTTTGGTGTGAGAAACATGGCATAGCATTAAACTGATGAAGAGCTATATATATGTTTTGGTGTGAGAAACATAGTATTAAACTGATCTAGAGCTTTATATGTTTTGGTGTGAGAAATATAGCATTAAACTGATCTAGAGCTTTATGTGTTTTGGTGTGAGAAACATAGCATTAAACTGATCTAGAGCTTTATATTTTTTTGGTGTGAGAAACATAGCATTAAACTGATCTAGAGCTTTATATCTTTTGGTGTGAGAAACATATATATGTATAACATATCCTTGTATATATACATCTAAATATACACACTAAACAATGTAGAGACGTTAATTCTGTTTGTTATAAGACATTAGTATCCTATTATATTTTAAACACTACATTCTATATGTAGTCCATTATGGATTTTCAAGAATTAGAAGAATGTATAGTAATATTACTCCAACCACACTATATTCGGAATATCCATTGCCAACGCCCCCCCCCCCCCACTGGCACAGCGACATGTCTGCGACTTACAACGCTAGAAACCGGATTTCGATACCCGTGGTGGGCAGAGCACAGATAGTCCATTGCGTAGCTTTGTGCTTAGCCGTTGGGATACAACAAACCCAGCAGTGGTCGGAACACTATTTATATACAACCAATAGCAATAGATATGACGAATACAATTTGGCTAGAATACTATTATTATACACTCTTCCAATTCTTGAAAATTCCTAAGGGACTAGATACAGAGTTTAGTGTTTAAAAATATAATAGGCCTAATACTAATATCCGATGATAAGAATAAGTAATATAGTCGTGCTCCGCCAGCTTGTAAAAAAAAAAACGTTTACACCAGAACAATGTAGAGAGCTCGAGGGGGAGGTGGGGACAACTCATTTTATATCACCGACTTTATGAAAATCAATGAATTCTTACTGTCAGATGTTGACATGAGTAAAAACGACGAGAATTACCTGATGAAACAGTGGGAGTTTAAGATAACACGTGTAACTTTTTGTAAGCTGCAAATACTCCAAACCAAGATGTTGATTAAAAAACGAATCGAATAGAGGGTCTTTTCCCGAAGTTAATTAAGATAACCAGAATTTATTATACTCACTGATATTGACGTATCGCATTTATCGATTTAAAATCCGTGTAAAATTCTTGATGAGAATGAAATTAAATCTGTGACAGTTTTTAGTAAAAAAAAAAAAAAGAAAGATTGATTACATGAATATTTTTTTTAGTCTGAAATAACAAAAGACGATTAAACGTTTTTCACGTAGTTTCGGCAAGATAAATAGCACCCCCCTCTCCCCCGTGGCACAACGGTACCTTATGGGCAGAGCATAGATAGCCCTTTGTGTAGCTTTGTGCTTAACTTCAAACAAACAAAATAAATATAAATTTAAAATGTAAGTTATATTATGTTCCATCAAATCAACTTTGAATTACGTCGCTTTCGGTTAGATTTAATACAAGTT